AGCTCGCCTAAACAATCCGAGTAATTCCCGAACAGCATCCCTGTACTTCGCCATCCTTTCTTCCTTTGCCTCGAAATCGCCCTTCACCTGGGATATGACTAATCGAGAATCACACTTCACCGTTATGCATTCCGCTCGCATGGCCGCAGCTATCCGTAGCCCCGACAACAGGGCTTCATACTCAACTTCATTATTGGACACTTTGAACAGGTACCGGTAAGCGTAGTACGCTCGAAACCCTTCAGGCGAGATCAAGACGATCCCGCCCCCGCAACCTTTCGTCCCGGACGATCCATCAGTCGCTAGGGTCCACCACTGTTCTTCACTATCTCTTTGTCTTTCCGTAACTTCCCTCGCCGTGCATTCCACAATGAAATCCGCAAGTGCCTGCCCTTTGATGGATGATCGGGGCTGAAATTCGACCTCGTACTGACTGAGAAGCATCGACCACTTCACGACCCGCGTCGTTCCCGGGGTTCTCAATGCTGCGCCCAGGGGTTGATCCGACAGGATTCTGATCGGGTGTGCTTGAAAGTAATGGGTCAACTTCTTCGCCGTGATGTAAGCGGCATAGATGGTCTTCTCGAGCGGGGTGTACCGCAGCTCCGCATTCTGTAAGGTTTTACTTACGTAGTATACGGGGTTCTGAATCCCGCCTTCCTCACGGACCAGCACGGAGCTGATCGCGCCCTGCGACACTCCCAAATACAATACCAGTGTTTCTCCTTTCCTCGGCTTGCTCAACAACGGTTCAGAGAGAAGATACTTCTTTAGGTCCTCGAATGCCCGCTGGCAATCATCCGTCCACGCAAATCCACTTTGTTTCTTGAGAACCCGGAAAAAAGGTAGGGACTTCTCCGCAGATTTTGACATGAAACGCCCAAGTGATGCCAGCCGCCCAGTGAGAACCTGCACTTCCTTCACCGACCTCGGAGGTTCCATGTCAAGGATTGCTCTCACCTTTTCGGGGTTCGGCTCTATCCCTCTCCGGGTGACCATGTACCCCAAAAATTTTCCGCCCTGGACAGCAAACATGCACTTTTTTGGGTTCAGGCGCAGCCGGACTGCCCTCATGATCCCGAAAATTTCGGCTAAGTCGTCGGCATGGTCTGTCGCTCGTACGCTCTTGACGATCATATCGTCTACATACGCTTCCATGTTCCTTCCTAGCACTGTTCGAAACACTTTTGCAACCATTCTCGTGTACGTCGCCCCGGAGTTCTTCAAGCCGAAAGCCATGACTAGATAGCAAAAGATCCCCTCCGGTGTGATGAAGGAGGTTTTCTCCGCATCATCTTCATGCATGGATATCTGATGATACCCCCGGAATGCGTCCATGAAGCTGAGGAGTTCGCACCCGGCTGTCCCGTCAACTAGCTGGTCTATGTTAGGTAAAGGGAAGGGGTCCATCGGGCATGCTCTGTTAAGGTCTGTGTAATCGACGCACATTCTCCAAGTCGGGGGCTTCGGTGCCAGGACCACGTTTGCCAACCATTCTGGGTATAATACTTCCTTGATGTGTTTAATAGCCAAGAGCATAGCCACCTCCTTCTTCACGAAATCCCTTCGTTCCACCGAGAGGTGTCTTCTCTTCTGCTGGATCGGCTTCACCGTCGGGTCGACCGCTAGCCTGTGAACGGCCACACTTCGGTCCAACCCCGGCATATCCTCAGGGCCCCATGCGAAGATCACACTGAATGTGACCAACACTTGGATGATCTTCTCTCTCATCCCGGCTGGGAGCCCCAACCTGATTTTGATCTTTCGCTCCGGGTGCCCGGGATCGATATGAACTTCTTCAACCTCGGAGGTGGGTTCAGCGCGGAGCTGGCCATCCTCATACTTCATGGCTTTGCTGTTGATAGTGTGGACCCTGAGGTCCTTTTGTCCGAGTTGTTTGCACGCCTTCATGTAACAACTCCGGGCCATCCTTTGATCTCCCCGAGCTATCCCGACCCCGTTCGGGGTGGGGAACTTCATACATAAATGCTCCTGAGAGATAATGCATCTCAAGTCCTCCAACGCGGGTCTTCCCATGATGATTTTGTGCGGACAGGTTAAACGTACGACAATGAACTCCAGGTTCAACTTTGCTACACAGGGTTCTGAACCCACCATCACAGGCAACACCACACTGCCTTCCGATTCGATTGAGTCCCCGGTAAATCCGGATAAAGGTGTTCTTACCGGACTCAGATCCGCCCCGCTCAGACCAAGGCCTTGGAATGTGTCGTAATACATTACGTTCACCGAGCTTCCATTGTCTACTAGAACTCGATGAATGATTGTATTGTTGATCTCCACCTTAATCATTAAGGCGTCCCTATGCGGTGGTGGCATGGGTGGTAGGTCATCATCAGTGAAGTAGATCGGATCTCTTCTCATCTTCTTTCCTGCAGGTACCCGGGTAATTTCCCCGACGTACAAGGATCGAGCCCATCGTTTCCTTTCGCCTGACGTGTCCCCTCCTTGGGGGCCGCCCACGATGTAGGAGCATCTGTGATGCTTCCGGGCTCCCTCCCCTAGGTCGCACTCGTCATCCTCGGACAGAGCCCCGAGCTCGCGCTTCTTTGGAGGTTGGTCAAGGGGCTGTTTCTCCTTGGACGTGGTGGCTTGATCGGAACGCCTCCATGTCAGGTTCCTCCCTTTCTGGGCATTTCCCGGTTTTCCTACAAATTGGCCCAAATATCCTTGTTTGATAAGTGCCTCGATTTGTCTGCGGAGAACGATGCATTCGTCCGTATCATGCCCGAAATTTCGGTGAAACCTGCAGTACTGGTCGGTGTTGCGTTTGGCAGTGACCACGTCACATTCCTCTGGGAAGGAAACCAAACCCTGCTCCTCGGCATAGTCGAGGACCGTCCCGACCGGTTGAGCCAAAGGTGTCAGAAGTTTGGTAGGTAGGAGCGGACCGTTCGGGACGTCCGTCCTTCCCTTGTTCTTATTCTTCTTACCTTTGAACCGGCCGCCCTTTCCGCCAGATTTCCTATCGGCATCTTCATCATCTGGGTCACCACGTCTTCCCCTGTCCTTCGTATCTTCTTTCTTTCCATCCTCTTCATCTCTTTTCCTCTGTTCAGCGTCCTCTGCCTCAGCCTGACGGTCAGCCCGCCTCAGGGCTTCCTCGTATAAAGCGGGTGGATTCCTAACAAAATCCTTGTAAAGTTCTCCTGATCGGATAGAATTTGTCAGCATTGCCACTCCGGTCCTGTCGTCAAGGCCCTGAACCTTGACCGACTCGACCCTCCATCTTGCCAGGAAAGTGGACAGGGCCTCTTTCTTTCCTTGCTTCAGGCTAAACAGGTGGCTGAAATTCTTCTTCACATCTCGTGAGCCGGCGAACCTCAAGAGGAAGTGCCTAGCCAACTCCCTGAAGTTCCCGATGCTCCCATCGGGCAGTGTGTCATACCATTCACGAGCCGGGCCATCTAGAGTAGCCGCGAATCCTCTGCATCGTATGGCATCTTCGTACCCCATCATGACCATGTATGACAGGTAACGTGATATGTGGTGTTGCGGGTCTGAAGTGCCCTTGTAAGTATCCACATTGCAAGGTTTGTAGCCCCTTGGCAACGGAGCCTCCATTATGGCACGAGTGAAGGGCTCCGGGATATGGAGGTCGGCCACGTATGACTCTCCCCCAACAACCCTCCTCCTTAGCTCGTCCAACCTTAGTCTGAGATCCTCCACAGCTTCCGGCGCCGGTTCCTCTGGCACGCGTCCAGCACGGGGCTGGACCCGCACATAGGATTCTGCGACTCTTTCACGCGCGTGAGGCCGACGGCCACCACGGGGGCCTTCTATGGAACCGGTTCGACCGCTCAGACGACGGGGGTGATGAGAGAAGTCATCCCCGCCCTCCAGTGACGAGTCTCGGTGGGGCCCTCCTCTTTCGGGTCGTCGAGGCTGCTCGACCCGTCGGGACATATGCTCCCTCCGGGGCAAGGATTCCCTTCGTGATTCGTCCAAACTAGTATGTCGCCCTTCATATCTCCCAGAGGAAGTCTCGATGTCTTCAGGGGCGGCGTGCCTCGGAGTTTCATGATTAGCTCTCTGCGGCATCATCCCCAGGAAATTCTGAGCCAAAGCCCCAATGGCACGCGTGGCCTCCTGTAGCGCCCGCACTCCAGCGTCAAGTCGGTTCGTGCGCGGAGCCCGACGACGGCGACCTCCAATCCGATCACGAAGGGATTGTCTGTCATGACTACGGCTTAGCGAGCCCCTCAGGTCCCCTGAGCCCGACAAATGGCTCCGGAGATCTCCTATCGGTCTCACCACCTGGCTTCTCACACGATGGCCATTGGGTTGTTCTGAATGCTCGGTGTGAACGGAAACTCGCTCTTGCCTTGATGATCCTGCCATTTTCCTCCTCAAAGATTCTACCGAAAACTGAGAGAACAACTCGGCTCTCAATGAAAGCACCAATGTTGGTAGAAAATGTGTTGAGTAGAAAATTCGGCAGCAATTCAGTACAGTAAAAGTGACTTATCCAATACAACAAGAGGGGCGGCCTATTTATAGGCGCTTACAAGAGGTTTCTTGAATACTAATGGGCTTGGCCCAATTAAACAACTAAAACAAGAAGCCTGATCCCAGGCCAATGGGCTGGTCGGGCCCAGAGTTAAACTAATCAATCCAAGGACCATATTATCTAGTCGGACCGTGTGCTGGGCCTGGTTCGCGCCCGAGCCCAGGCATATTGGGTCGATAGTATTGGACCTGGCCCATTATCCCAACAGTGACGATCTTATGGAATACTCCCTCCGTTCCTAAATAAACTTCCAACTTTCTTTTTTCGTCCGTTCCAATTAAAACTTCTACTTTCCCTTTTTAGTAAAAAAATTGTGGTTCACAATATTTCTTACACATTTCTCTCTCCTCTGCACAACTCTCCACCACACAATATTCACTGTCTCAAACCTATTTGAAAGTTTTAACGGGAAAGCGGGGATTACTTTTATTTTGTAGGTATTATTTCTTTAATATGCCCGATGTTCCCAATTTTGCTCGGCATCAGCCATCAAAGCGTGGGCGTGGAGTCGTGAAAGTTCTGTATTTTGCTGTCTTTAAACACCTTCAGTCATTCATGTTTCAATTTTTTCCACTAAATTTCGGGGAAGAATAAAAAATAAATACTCCTTGTAAGAAAATCCTCCTTCTTACCCGGGATTGAAGAAACTGCGGCATCTTAATCCAATATTCCAAGGCTAGGGCTCTGAATATAGTAGTACCTGTATAACTCTATTCAAATACATACATAGATAATTAGAGCTAGAGGGAGGAGATGGGGCAGGCATTTCGTCGAGCAGCCGGAAGGATTGGAAGTTCAAGAGTCGAAACACCATCTTCGCAGCTGAAGAAACCCATTGAGAGACCGCCGCTGCCTTCACCGGAAATTATTTCTGGCAAAGATGTCGTCCTTGGAGCTGGTAAGTAATTAAAGCAATGAGCTTGAATGTTTTTTATGTTTCAAGATCAATTTTCACCAACAGGTTTAGATTGCTCAAATTGTTAACTTTTCATTAAATAGCTTTAATTCTGCATATGACATTGAATTTAGCTTAAAGTGGCTTCTATAGATTTAGATTTATATACTGCAGACCAAGTAAGTCCCTTTTGTTTAAAGAATATTTCGCAATTCAGTGGAGTTACTTCACTAGTTCACCCTGGAGTTGGTCTGCCAGATCAAAATCCCTACAATCATCTAGGACATTATTCTCTATTGTGTTAAAATAATTTGTCGTTGATCAAATGCATCTTTTGTACTGTATGAATTTCACTCTGTCAGTTTAGACTTGCTCACCAAATGAATATTCCATCCCATCCTATTAAAAAGATTAAATCCATCCCGACATTAATCATTTTCTAGAGACCTGCATTAGAGTAACATGACGTCATGACGACTGAACTACTGAAGTAGCTGCATTACTGACATATCCGCTTCTTAAGACTGTCCTCTTTCATTTTAACTACTACGTACGTTTTGTTGTTATAGGGTTGTACAAGAACTTTAGTGAAATTATCATTTTGATCCCTCCGCTAGTCTGCTGTGTGTAGTCCCTCTTTATAGAGTTTAGTCTCTCAATTGTTTAGCAGCTATTCAGGTAGTTGATTTAGTCAAACAAGGCCTCTGGCATTGGATAAGACTTATGGGGTTTGCCTTTGAGGTTTACAATGGTGGTTTGGTAAATTGAATATGGGACTGGAGGGCATGATGCAATATATTAAGAGGTAAGTGTAATACAGGGTTGGGAAGTAAACATATGAAATGCCCCATTATAAATCCTAAAGACAAACTGACAACTTTTCCAGCAACCTGAAGGACTACATTGCAGCAGGATTGAGGCACTAAAATAGTGATTTTCACATGTTACTATGACCATGCAATAACATAACTATTTTTTTATTGAAATGTCTTTGAACTTAAAACCTTTGTAATTCTGAAGACTATTACAATGACTATACGAAGCAGTAATGGATCTAAACATAAATTGATTGGTAAAGCATAATGCTCTAAAACTATGGTGGTTATATTTCTATATGTTTATATATTTTTCTATAAAAGCAAAAGTAATTTTTTCTTTCATTCTAGAAAACACTCCAAAAGCTAATCCCAAGAATATTCTTGAAGAACGAGATCCACAGTTTGATGTGATGCTTAGTCAAATGGTCGGTAGAATTCATGCCAAGCCTGGAGGGAAATCTGAAATGGGTGAGGTTAGTTTGTGTTTGTGTGTTCCTGATATAATTAAATTATCTTATATAATGTATTAATGTGTTTTGCCGACCCCAATTTTTTTGAGACTAAGGCTTGGATGTTTTTGTTGTAATGTGTTTTACCACATTTCTAGTGAAATTTAGATTACTCTCAAGTCTGGACATGTCATATGTGCTTATATTGCTTTTTTCACTTGTTTCATGCATCTGCACTTTTGCTGGCAGTTTTCAAATGATTCGTTTGGATTTGGTTCTTCACTGTCTATACTTACACGTAATTCATGTCAAATATCATGCAACTGAGCTCTTGGCTAAATGGCTAATCTAAATAGGTTCCCTAAATGGTGGCCTAGGTGGGTGTAGGCCTATTTCTAGGCTACCAGGCCGCTATGTGATGTTAGGCAAGCGCTTGAGGCCATAAATGCCACCTTTATTTTTATTTTATGTTACTGTGGAATAGGATAGAGAGTGGTTTCTTATGTCCGCATTGTGTCTCGAATCTATGTCATGTAACGTGTATATGAACCTTCTTATAAGTTACACTTTGTTGTGAGTTGTTGCCTAATATTTGAGGATTTTGAGCGGTTTAAATTATTAAACTTATATGATCAAAATGATATGGTTTTACAATATATTCGTTAACATTTTGACATCATTTGTTCACTGTTGCAGCCTCGCAGGTGTAGATGTATATTTCTGTTTTACTTTTAAATTAAAAAAAGCATATTGAATTGGTTGCATATAATTCATTTTATCATTTAATATATCAAGTAATTGTATATTTTTCTCAAACAGTAGACATAATTCAAGTTATACAATTTTAGAAAAATATATTTACAGAAATACTTCATATTATATTTTCTATGCCACGTTTGGTCTCGTTTGATACTCGGATCCCCACCTTGGCCTTTAGTCAGTTGGCCTTGTTTATTGCCCACATAGCACCTCTTGGAAATGAGTAGTGTGAAATTCATTCACTTACCGCCACTAAAAAAGTAACATTTTGGGCGTGTTTGGCGTTTAGCGGTTAATGTAGCGGATTATGTTAACGGATAGCTAATAGTGGATTTAGTCAGCGAGTTTGACTAGCAGAATAAGTTAATGGGTAGCAAAAAGATGTTTGATAATTTAGCTATTTGGCCTTAACTATTAGTAGAAAATGCCATACTTCAAAACACTAAATGCAGTGTTTCTATTTCAACGGTTCTGTCCAAAAATGCTAGAGCCGAACAACTATTTATCAAACAACGTTTTCACTTATTGAAAACGCTAAAAGTGGCCAAACCGCCATTTTTTGCTGAAACACCATTTTCCAATCACCCCCTTTGTATGCGTGGGCAAGTAGTAGAGGGTCAAAATTCATATGCATCTTATGAAGCCGTAAGGTCTAAGGATAATGCAATCCAAACATTCTTGTGTTATACCTGTTTGCTCCCTTTTCCTTAAAAAGAAAGACAAATTGTGCTGGACATTTTATTTTCTCCAAACTTCCACCCTTATGACGTGTTTTTTCAGGGTTTTGGAGAGTATGGGAGGGAGGATTAATTTTTGTTTTACTAATTTATCTCGAAACGCCAGTCTTTGACCAGAAAGAGCTACTCCCTCTATCCCTTATAGTTTTGCGATCTTTCCTTTTTCGGTTGTCCCAGGACTTTGGCGCTTTGCTTTTTAATCCATTAATTTGTGGTTCCTATTATTTCTCTCTGCACAATCTTTAAGCATACAATTTTTATTTTATTATTCTTTATCTCGGTCAAATTTGGTAAAATTATAAGGGACGGAGGGAGTATGTGTTTAATTAGGTTATGTACTTTGAAATAATCTTTTTCCTCATGAGCTCACTTTCTTTCCAGCAGTTAAGTGCCTAAGTGTAAGAATATATTAAAAAAAATGAAAATCATTCCTCTTCTCTCATCTTTTCTGAAACTGCCTAGGCTTCATATATGGACAGACATTCCCCATCCATTGTTTGGGTTTCGGAGTAATAAGTTCATTTACAATTCTTGGAAACAGGTTGCACAATGATATCTTTAAATCAACGTGTACATCTCTTGCGCGGGTTCTGTGAAATTTTCACTTCCAAAAAGATACTGTAATAAGCAAACTTATATTACTGAGGCGGTTACTATTCAATTTCTAATGTCAAGCGTACCATGACAGGCTTCAATAGTGGGAAAGTACGAACGGCCATTGCCGAAACTACGGAATACAACAACGGAGTCTAGCAGATATGAGGGACGGCCGACGCCTCCAGGAACGTTAAATGTAGCACAGTTAAGACAAATCATAATGTTGTATCAAGGAAAGGCAAATGATGAGCATGAAGGGCCTATGGATGTCAACCAAATAGCTGAAAAGTTTCGAATAGATGTTTCTCAAGTCCAAAGGATAGTTCAATTTGTATCACTGCCTCCGGAGGACACCACACAGCAGAAAAATCTCTGATTTACTTTTGCATAAAGAAGTCCACTCACTGTTTGCGATCAGAGAATAATATACTCCCTCCGGTCCTTAATGAAGTTTACACTTTGACTTCACACATATTAAGGAAATAAATTTGACTTTACTGTTTAGCTCTGTTTGGCACTGTTTTGCACTGTTTTGTGTAGATTTGTTTGCCAAATAAGGCAAATAAGGAAGTGTAAAGTTTAATATGGGATAGTCCGAAAAGGAAAGTGTAAAGTTAATTAAGGATCGGAGGGAATATTCTTTTCTAGATCTTGAAGCTTTTAGAGTTTTAGTGTATCTGAATGATGACGTTCTTTTACATGTGAGTCTTTTCCTTATGGATTGTATCTCTATAGCATCTCTGTAGCTAACTTTCTTACAAATCCACATTTTTTAACTGAACCTTACCGAGTACTTGCCAGGCTCAATAAGATCTCCATTTTTCATATCAGTTTGCCTAAAATATATAAAATTTGAGAGGACTAAAGAAACTGTGAAGGATGCTGGGAATTCAAAGTGATTAGCATAGTTCAAATTTAAATGGTTGACAATATTGAACTTTAAATTTTGTTGTTTTTTAGTTTGGGAGGGGGGGGGGGGGGGGGGGGGGGGGAGGGGGGGTGTTACACCCCTTCAAGAGTATTATCATAGTTTCACACCTATTTTATACACACACGGTTTAGTGTATGGGTAGTTTGCTACCACTGGATTTGGTTAAACTGTTAAAGGCACATATGACTGATATGAGGATGAACATTATTTAAACCGGCATTTGTTTAGGATCTATCATTTGGACTGAGGTTTTGAAGACTTTTCTAAATTGATTTGTTTTGAATTAGTTTGGTTTATATGAGTTTGGTCTAGTTTGTTTGATTTAGATTTGGTAGGTTTGATATTATGTGTGCTTTATTAACTATTTAAATTTGATCTATTCTGTTTAGTTCTGCTCTTGTTTAATTTGATCTAAGTTTAGAACATCATGATTGTGATTTGATGTTGATATTAGTTCAAGTGAATACTCCTTAATCCTTATTACTCTATAGTAGTGTTTTACAAAGTTAGAGACCGTGAATTATTGATGTTATATTTATGTTTTAAAACTTAGATTAGGTTATATAATAATTCAAAGTTTTAAATCAAATACATAGTATTTGAGTTACTCTAGGGGTTTGACTTTGTGTCTCACTTTTTGAGCTATACTTAGGGGTGGACTCGGGCAGGGTGGCCTGACCCGGGACCGGTACTGTTCTGGCCCGGCCAGGGACCGGTCCGGGTAGGCCCGGCCCGGTGGTTTTACGGTGCGGGCTCGGGTCCCCCAAATGATGAACCGGCACAGCCGACCGGGTCCAGTTCTGGGCCTTTTTTTGTTTTTTCATTTTTTTTATTTTTCTGGGTTGGGCTGGGTGTTTTGGGCCATTTGGGGTGGTTTGGGGGGTGGGGGTGGGGGGGGGGGGGAGATTAGGGGATTAATCAGAAAAAAATAAAAATAGGAAGTGGCCCGAGGCCCGACCCGACCCGGACCCGTCGGCCACCCGAGCCGATTCCGGTTCACACATTTTCAAATAAAAGTCCGGCCCGAGTCCACCCATAGATATACTAGACTTTACAATCCATTTTTCAAAATCATTAATGTGTACTTCCCGTTTTGTAAAAAAACATTTGACTTTGCGTTGTCATTTCTTCACAATTTTTGGGTTAATGAGACACATACATTAATGATTATGAAAATGAAGTATAATACTCAATATAGTACAAAAAGGAAGCAAAGTCAAAGTCTTCCTTTATTATAATTTATCCTATTGAATGAATGTTTATTACTCTCCAAATAAAACATCCATCTCTGGTATATAGAGTAGAGAGTGCCCTTGTTTTTGTACATGTTATCTGTAACTTCATCCTTTTTTCTGATTAGGGGATTAATCAGAAAAAAATAAAAATAGGAAGTGGCCCGAGGCCCGGCCCGACCCGGACCCGTCGGCCACCCGAGCCGATTCCGGTTCACACATTTTCAAATAAAAGTCCGGCCCGAGTCCACCCATAGATATACTAGACTTTACAATCCATTTTTCAAAATCATTAATGTGTACTTCCCGTTTTGTAAAAAAACATTTGACTTTGCGTTGTCATTTCTTCACAATTTTTGGGTTAATGAGACACATACATTAATGATTATGAAAATGAAGTATAATACTCAATATAGTACAAAAAGGAAGCAAAGTCAAAGTCTTCCTTTATTATAATTTATCCTATTGAATGAATGTTTATTACTCTCCAAATAAAACATCCATCTCTGGTATATAGAGTAGAGAGTGCCCTTGTTTTTGTACATGTTATCTGTAACTTCATCCTTTTTTTGCAAAATGTAGCACCCACACGGGTAGCTAAGTTGATCGAGTCATGAGAAAGTTGGAGGAATGACCAAAGATCGAAACCCGCAGTGATCATGTGGAGGTTACAACTCATGTGCTGATCTGGACCTGTGGTGCTCACTTGTACAACCTTTTGGAGGAATAAGATAGTTTTAGCGTTAGAAATGCTTAAAATACTTACTATGGTACCGGGTTCGACACTGTTTGAGACTGTATGGTGTCCGTTTAGTATGGTACGCCCTAGAGCGGTTCGTGGTCTTAGTTTACAGTTTTGGAGGCCGAACAGGTCGGTTTCGATCCCGAACCATTTTTTTATGATTTGGTCCGGCCAAAAAAATAAAAAATTAACGGGGACCGAGTCTGAAATCGGACTGGCCGGATACCCAGAGTCGACCTAGATCCGGAAAAGGGGGCACACGGGCCCAAGCAATTATTTGGATCGGGTGGTCTCGGCTCGGAACCGGGACCGGATCTACCCGGGTCCATCCCTAACTCAATTTAAATATTTATGCACCCTCCTTGCAAACCCTTTTGCGTCATTTGATACACTCTCTTAAAGTATTACATTTGTAGCCGACACAATATGGGAATGTAGGTTCATTCAATTTACAAAACATGACAAATACAATTTCAATCAAACATAAGCAATCCAGATTTGGATATCCATCCCGCCATGCTTTCTGGATGCGTATTGGATGGAGGGGGTAAAAACTAAAAAGAGCAAACTATTAATATATTTTACGGAAAAAGTCCCTCTTTCTTATCCATCAGCCCATATCATTGGAGAAAAGGCAGGAGATCAGATATTCAAGAAGGAATGGTCTCGCATTTAATCATTCCTTTCACTTTTACATCTGCTCCATCTTTTCTTTTAGGGAAGGTTCAGGAAATACGATTAAAATAGTTTGAAAAAATTAAAACAGGACTGTCATGTTTTTTATTCTCAAATTAGGAGTAATTATTGCAAAGTTTAGAAATACTGTCATGTTTGAAGTTTGGTACTGCCAAAATACGGCAGTAATTAGTCCTATTTTGGGAATAAAAACATGACAGTCATATTTTTGAATTTTCAAACTTTGTAGTCCTATTTCAGGTAATAATATTCTCTTTCTTTTATGCAAAATTTGTATTGCTTTCTTCTCTTTCTAGTGGTGATAATCATAAATACGAAGTACATAAAAAACACATACATATTAAAAAAATCCTTACTTTTGCATCTTCTATGTCCAATTTTATTACTTTTTAATCTCGAAGATTCACAGTATATAGTATTGTATACATGATAAAAAAAAGTTGGTATAGTGGTTGCCGAAGAGGGTAGTGTGTGACAACAGTACATTTTCCTCAATAACATGCGGAGTAATATTTTTTCCTAATTACACCAAGCAGAGCCCGGCTTGGCACACTACATGAATGTTTGTACTTAGACTAACTATTTTACTTGTTCACAAATCAATATATATTTTCACTATAAATAAGCACCTTTCGTGTATCTTGTGGAAAGTGATCCAAAATTCATTTTAAGCATGCCATTACTCTGTCAATTTTATTACTCGAGCTCATACTTTTTCTCTCTATCTTACTGTCTGTTCTCCAAGGACCATCAGGGGTATCAAACAATATTAATATTATTATACATGATATATACTCTGTATATGGATTTGCTTTTATTATTGTTTAGGTTTATTCCTTAAACCCGTAGGCCCAACACGTGTCATAAGGGTTTCGAATGGAAGAATAATGAAAAGATGAATAAACAAGCAAGGAAGGGCCCAATAAGGAGTCTTGATATTCTGTATCGATTACTAAGCCGAGGGGCCGTTCGTACAATGCTATGCTATGAGCTGATACAATTGCTAAAGTGCTAGAGTGCTATATCACGAACCTTTTACAGTGAAATAAATGTTTCTATTTATACTGCTAAGGGGTAGTTGGATGCGTTGATGTGGCGGGCTGTGGACGGCTCGATCCCAACCACCAAATCTTCTGCATGAAATGCGCTTCCCGCCAGGATCTTGGTTTCCCGCCAAGAGGTGGGGACGTTCGTCCCCATGCACTTGCCTCCTGTTTCCTGCTGGAATCTGGGTTTCCCGCCAAGGGGTGGGGACGTTCGTCCCCATGCACTTGATTTCTGCTTCCTGCTGGAATCTTGGTTTCCCGCCAAGCGGTGGGGATGTTCGTCCCCATGCACTTGCCTCCTGTTTCCTGTTGGGATCTTGGCTTCCTTCCAAGGGGTGGGGACGTTCGTCCCTGCGCTTGCTTCGGGCCAAGGTACCTGCTGATGATAGGATACGTACGTCCCCTGACCCTTGGTGCTGAAGCTTGGCTCTGTTGGGGACGAACCTCTCCAGAATCAACGGACAGGTAACCCATCGTCGTGGGCCTTCTGGGGACGTTCGTAGGAGGTCCTTATGGGTTGATGATCCGGTCCTTGTTGGGCCATTATCCCAACAATTATCATCACAAAATTTATTCAAATTAGAAATATATTTAGGTGGATGGTACTAAACTTTATCGTACACAATATTAACAAGCTAGTTTAGCTCTTTTATTGTTACCGACAAACACACCTATATGTGTGATTTAGATCAAGTAAAAAAGAAGTGTTAGTGTAAGAAATTAGAATCATTCTAGTGTAATGCATGTGAGATTTAACACTTCTTAAAGTGTCAACAGTGCATCTGATTAGATAAAAACACAGTGGCAATAATGTAACAATTAAATGAACCTCTTCATATATCACCGTTTAAAAGTGCAATATATGAAGATAAAGTGATTTTTCTAACTTTAATTCGCCCTATATATACAAAGACATATCCGCATAATACCAATTCATAATGTATATGGCACCTTTTGGACTAGGCAAGGTTGGGTAAGTCAACCTAGAGACGACATTTGAATGTTGCTACTCAAGATGAGTAGAGTAGGGTTGTTGCACTTCTAAACCAAATTAAAGGCTTTATTAGTGAAAAAAGATTTCAAATTCCTCCAAGAGAGGGGTTGGGTTTTCAAATCACTACCCATTTACTTTCTGTTTGTTCTGAATTAAACTCCAGAACATATCAAAAAAGATCTGAATATACACCATA